CCTGCCACCATACCCAGCTAATTTTTCTACTTTTAGCAGGGACAAGGTCTTGCTCTTACTCAGGCTGGTGTCAAACTCCTGGGCTCAAGCAATCTACTGGCCTTGGTCTCCCAGAGTGCTGGGATTACAGGTGTGAGCCACTGCACCTGGCCTCTGAGACATTCTGTTGGGGGGGGGGGGTTTGTTTTGTTTTGTTTTTGCAGTTTTAGGCCGGGGCAGGTTTGAACCCACCACTTCTGGCATGTGGGGCCAACGCCCTACTCCTTTGAGCCACAGGCGCCGCCCTCTAAAGCACTTCTTAAAGACACTGCAGGTGTCTGCCCAGCCTGCCCTGGGAGAGCCCGCAGGCTCTTCTTGTGCCCTGCAGTCTCCACAACTGAGTTAGAACCCAGCACACTTCAGGAGGGAGGGGCAGAGGCAAACTCAAACCAGGGAAGGTGAAGATTAGAAACCAACATTAATTTCAGGGTTCTTCCAATTTTTATTCATTAATTTAGGAAAAATACATGTTGGAATGGATTTTTAGGGTGTTTAGTGAATAGGTGGAAGATGTCGTTTTAAGTGGGTCCGAAGTTTGTGACACAGATCCTTGTTGCACAGATTCTGGATTTACGGTGCAGGTGTGAGGAGCTAGAAGTGACTTGTGAGCCTCAGTGCACTGGCCATTGGACACCAGGTGATGATCCCTAATGTGTTGGGTGTCATCTGTGCCCCAAGCTGTCCCTCAGGTACTGGGTCATCTAACATACTCATGCAATCCTATCACAAATTGGAAATGGCATGTGTGAACCTGGGCCTGATGAGGTGCTGAAGACACAAGTCCTTTGCATGTGCAGGCAGCTCATTCCCGTGTGCCTGTTCCTGACCCCATCAATCTGTCTATGGCCTCCAGGGGAAGTTCCCGAGAATGACAGAGGCCAGCTTGCAGATGGTGCTGCACAGTAGGCCGGCCTGCTCCATACAGGGATGGCAGTGGTGCTATATTTACAGTTCTGTAAGGACAGTGGGTAAAAGAAAAAACCTTCCAGGGGAGAGAATTCAAAGCTCATAACTCTATGTCCCCTTTGCTTGGAAGGAAGGAAATGTTTGATGTAAAAAGCTTCACCAGGGCGGTGCCTGTGGCTCAAAGGAATAGGTGGTAGGTTCAAACCCAGCCCTGGCCAAAAACTGCAAAAAAAAAAAAGGCTTCCCCAATTTCTGAGCAGTAACTAATGGTCTAGTCAAGAGCCCAAAAGCAGCAAGATTGGAGGTTTAATGTCAGGGTTGGGAGACCTGGATAGCTTCACCTTTCAGAAGGAGCCAAATTTGAGCATAACTGTTCTCGACTAAAAGGTCACCCCAGATCCCCACTTATAAGGGAAGGCTGTTAATAATTAAATGGACAAAGACCGTCTTCTCATGTGTGACAATTTCTTTCCCCCGGGACATCACTGCTTTCTCAACCAATTCATGCACAAAAGTGGCCATGACGGCAAAGATGGCAAGTGACAGATTTCACCCTCTTAGGCTTTCCATCGTCACAGCAGACCTGGCCCTGAGTGCACACAGCCATCAGGGCTGACCCCGGACCTGATACTGGCCATACTGTGGACCACCCAGTTGCAGACTCATTACATGGACCTCTTCCACAATGGAAAGGACAGTGATTTCTCCTCACTGAAATGAGCTTGCATTATGTCTGGGTTTGGAATTGAATTCTCTGCCTGTCATACCCTCATGGCACGCCATGCAATAATGCTTCTGACCACAAATTCACTTTGTGTGAGAGAGGAAAGGCAGTGGATGGTAGCCTGGCAATTTGATCCTGTCATCCAGAGCCAGTGATCTGTATTGAACTGTGACATGACTTATGGAAGACTTATTTTGACAGTAACTCAGAGACAATATGTCATAAGGTTGAGATATGGTCTTTTAAGATGGTTGATTGTTCTAAACCAGTGAACATGACGCTGTCTCTCTCACCGCCAGACTCAACAGGTGTGGAGGAAGGGGCAGTCTAACTCTGCACTATACCAGTGAGAGAGGAAGGCTGCATACCTGAGACAGGTGGCCATGATGGGATAACTTCCTTTGGAAGGGGGATATGTGATGTTTTGATTGGATGAGGGATGGTCCCATTAAAGCTGAAACTTCTCTTAAAAACAGAAAATAATTCCAGAATTATAGTATGTGTACATGTTGAGCCAGACAAGGGCAATGCAATAGTCTGGGAGTGTCGCCATGAGGTGAACAGGCCAAGTCAGTGGATTATGACACTGGCTACAGTGACTAGTTCTGGGGAAATACCAATGCTGCTGTATCAGGGGGGACAGACCAGGGTGGGGGCTATGCATGAAACTCAAGGGGTCCCCTCAGGAGCCTGGGTGGCCTCCTCCTCCTTCATTCCCCCCCTCCTCCGTCCTCTCTCCCCCACTCTCAGAGGTAGGAGTTAAAGGAAGACTGCAGCCACCATGCATACAGGCAGGACCTCATTAGTCTCAGTGCCCTCAGGAAGGCGGGACAGGATCATGGCTTTTATATCATGCCCCATCCATCCAACGTGCTGGCATGAACCTGGAATGGGAACTAGAAGTAGCAGCCTAAAGACACCCAGGGTCTCTTCTGTAGCCTCTCCCTGTACTTCCCTTGCCACATGTCCACAGTAGAACCTCTGTAAGTTAACCACCCAAGGGACAGTAACAAACTGGTCAACACACAGAGGTGGTCAACACAAGGAATTCCCATTGAGTATACGTGGTGCATGTCCAGTCTGTGAAAACTAGGTCAACTTAAGGAGGTAGTCATTGTGGGGAGGTGGTCAACTAGGGAGGTTCTACTGTATTTCCGTTTAGTTCACTGCTTCTCTCTCCTCTCCCTTTATTCATTCTGTTGTACATGGGGTGCATGATTATGGCCAACTTCACCCTTCAGCCCAAAGATTACAGACAAATGAGAAGGGATATGACTCAACTGGAGGAGGAATGGACGTGACTCAGAGATGCCAAGTCCAGGAACTGAGAGGCATTGGGACCATTCCCGTTGGAAAGGGGATGAGTGAAGATTTTATTGTACAAGAATAGCTACCTACCATCTTTTTTTTAAGTGAAAGTAGGGGACTTAGAGTATTAGAGATAATGAACAGCAAAAGAGGCTGTAATCGATTTAATATAACTTTGTTTTTTCTTTTGGCTCTCTACCATCTGAGGCCATCCCCAAATTGGAAATTTTGCTATTATGTGAGTCATGGTAGGGGATAAGACCAGCGAGTTCACGAATGCAGGATCTAAGATCTTGCAACTGGCTGTTCCTGTCCAGAACTTTCAATGTACAGCCAGGACACAAATAGGATCAGTTTAGAGTCTGTGCTCACAGTGGTGGTGGCAGTGGTCCTGTCCACAGTGAGGGACCAGCACTGGGGACCATTGCACCTAAACCAAGCAGCTTTCCAAGTACAACTGGGCCATGGCCCCAGGCCTCTGGCTTCCTCAGATCCACCCACTTTCAAGCCCTAAAGATTCTCCTAAGGACCCTGTGTGCCCCCTGATTGCTTTCCATTCATTTGATTCTCTGCTTAAGTAAATTCGAGTTGGACATTGTTTTTTGCAATCAAGAACCTGACTAGCGAGGCTGGGGCAGTGGCTAACACCTGTAATCTCAGCACTCAGGGAGGCTGAAGCAGATGGATCACCTGAGCTCAGGTGTTCGAGACCAGCCTGAGCAAGAGCAAGACTCCATCTCTAAAATAGCCAGGTGTTGTGGCAGGTGCCTGTAGTCCCAGCTACTCGACAGCCTGAGTGAGGCAAGAGGATCACTTGAGCCCAGAGTTTGAGGTTGCTGTGAGCTACGACACCATGGTACTCTACCAAGTGTGACAAGTGAGACTCTGTATTAAAAAAAAAAGAAGAAGAACCTGACTAGCCCTTCTCATCTGAGCTCTTTCCCTTATCTCTACTGGTGTCAGGTGGAGATGTGACTCCCAGCTTAGTAAGCTCTCCCTCATCCCTGGAAGGAAGTGGCTTTGAGGACTGAAGGTGACATAGGTCATCCACAACAATCTCCCCTTTATTAATAGTAATCACAGTTATGAGGTCTTGTCCATCAGAAAGCACAATTTCCACCACGTAGAACTACATACAAAGATGTAAAAATTACAACACGCACCAAAGCAGGTAAGCTCGACCTGTCACGCCTCTGGATGTGTCATCAATTTTGATCATCAGTGCTTTTGGAAGAACGTATGTATATAGACCCAGGCCAAGGTTGGCCTTTGGAGCCGTAAAGCATTCACAGAGCAGAAGATTCAGCCTTGGAAGCAGTTGATCATGTAAACTCAAGAGGGCAGGTGCTGACCCCAAACGCCTGAGCCCCTGGCTCTCGCGCTGCCCGCCTTCTCAGTGGAGCCCACTCAAAGTCCCACGTGCTCCTCTGACCAGTGAGGACCATTTGCCTTAGCTGTGTTGGAAGGAGGTCACATCACCCTGTTTGGGAGAAAAGCTACATGTACAAAGGAGGAGGGTGCCTTCTAGTCTGGTCCAAGTCATTCTTGAGGATCCTTTTGGGATGACAATTTGGCCAAAATTTACCTTAAAAGGGAAATGTAAAAATATCATTCTTCTCCTGCCCGTCTTCCTTTTCCATCCTAAGCCATCTGGCTAAACTCCAGCAAAGCCCAGGCAGCTCAGGAGCTTGTGGTCAGGTTACATCGAATGGTCAACAGGGAAGGACCCACTGCAGATTCCAAGTGTCTGCGATTCCCTTACGTGAACCTGAGTGGCTCCCTCCATCAGTACAGGAAGAGTCTGAGCTCTCGGAGTTTGCTGGTGTCCCTAAGTCTCTTAGAAATATAAAGGCTGTAAACTTACCAAAATAAATGCCTAGGGGATTTGGAAAGCACTTTGCTATTAGAGTCCACTGAGAGCGCAGGACATAGCTATCAAAGCCACACTATTGGCTCTTCACAGGGCTCACTGTGTGTTCACAGTTGTCTGAATCCCTTTAACTCGACAATGTCGATCTTTTCCTTAAGCAAAAAAGAAAGATTAGTTGATTTCCTTCCCTGTGTCACGCCCCCCTCCCATGCAGTATCTCCCCCCTGGGAGAGGTAGAGGAGGTGTGTTCTTCAGGCTGGCTCAGGCTTGGAAAGTGGGTTGCTTGGGTCATGATGTTCGGTTCTGGTGTTCTGGATGGTAGAGGATCAGTAGTGGAGAACAGGACGGGCGCACGAAAAATCTGCTGGCCACTCTGCTCTGAGTCCCTTAGCCAAAGTGCTCAGGAGGCTTGTCTCAGTAGCTTGCTTCTGTGGGTGAGGAGCCGGCATTGGGTCTAGTGAGGGAGACCGGAGGGACCGAAGCAGAGATTTCCCTGATCTTTATGTTCTCGAGAGTCCCACTGAACAAAGATTCCATTCAGTGGCAACATAAAAAGTTTTAATTCCACGACACCTTGAAATTCCAAAGAAAAGCAGTTATCTCCCTCAAAAGCAAGGTAAAGACTGTCATTTTATAATCAGAGTCAATCAGGATCATGAGATGAGGAGAGAAAGGAAAAGTGTTTTAATGTGAAGGAAAAGGCTTGTGGTCCCGCGGAAACCAGCCGCCACCGCCTCCTCATGCTGCCCTTCCCGGAGTCCGGAGCGTCTCAGTCCTAGCCCAGGCCGACGTCCAGTGACATCATCACCACGAAACCCAGGATGGAGGCCCAGGACGCCAGCTTCCCATTGCCACTAGGAAGGAAGGAAGGGCAGGAAGGAAAGAGAGACCTTAATGCCTCTTCCACAATGTCCATTTCCAATAGGAAACATACTACTATTAGTCGTGGTACCATTTATCGGGACTTACTATACGCCAGGCAGATAACTCACGTCATCCCAAACACCCACCTCACGGGGTCAGTATCATTATTATCCTCATTTTACTGGTAGGGAGGCTGAGGCATAGAGAAGTAACCTGCCCAAGGTCACTTACCCTAGCTCTGGAGTCCATGCTTGAATAATTTTTGAATAATTCTTAAATAATAATGCTTGAACAATTATTTCTTTTTTTTTTCTTTGAGACAGAGTCTCACTATGTCACCCTTGGTAGAGTGCCGTGGCATCACAGCTCACAGCAACCTCAAACTCTTGGGTTTAAGCAATTCTCTTGCCTCTGACTCTCAAGTAGCTGAGATTACAGGCACCCACCACACACCCAGCTATTTCTTTGTTGCAGCTGTCAGTGTTGTTTAGCTGGCCCGGCCTGGGTTCCAACCCACAAGCCCTGGCACCCTAAAACCTCTGAGCTACGAGTGCCAAGCCAGGTAATTATTTCTTAAAGATACTATCTAGTCTGACCTTATTATATTATTTTACCTGAGCCTCAGAATTATTGCATTATAAAAATTAAAATGAAACAAACCAAGCCGCCATCCCTCTGACACCCGGCTACAGGTAGACAATTGGAACATGCATACGTTCCCCTGGCTGACAGAGCGCTAGCTCATCTCTCCCCTTATCCCAGCCCCAGAAAAGTCTCAATAGAGAGACAATATACAAAGAGATAGTCTACTTCAATAGAGGGACAGGGGCAGGTGTGCATGACGCTAGTTGATATCCCTGGGCTCTTGCCCTTGACCTTCTGTTAGTTCCAGAGAGCACAGTTGAGGGACAGGTGGGCATGGTCTTGGGAAGGGGCAGGAAGGGGTTGGGATAAGGAAGTGAGAGCAAATGAAGAAAAAGCAGATCCCAAGGCCAGGACCTGGGTTGGGACCAGGACAGGAACAGGGAGGGGGAGCTCTCCAACCTGATCTGCGCTTCAGGGATGATGTCATCCATGACCACATAGACCATGGCGCCAGCCGCGAAGGCCAGTGCGTAGGGCAGGATGGGCTCAGCCAGCACCACGGCAAAGGCACCAAAGACCCCCGCTAGGGGCTCCACCATGCCACTCAGCTGCCCGTACCTACGGAGAGAACAGAGACGTGTCCCACTGCAGGAAGGGTCAGACAAACACCCCCGTGCCCAGACTCTCAGTGCAACGCTACGAGATGGATACATTCCCCATCTTATCTGAGCATGACAGTGAAAAGCTCGTCCCTGTCTCCCAGCCACCTCCTTCTCCCTCCTCAACTCCCTGGGAAACAGTTACAGGTTCTCTTTAGGCTTTTAACAGCATTATTGAGACACCATTCACATAGCATAGGACACACCCATTCAATGTATACAGTTCAGAGGTTTTTAGCATATTCATGAGGTTGTGCAAACATCACCACTATCTAATTCCAGAACATTTTCGTCACCTCCAAAAGAAACTTCATGCATTAGCAGCCTCCCCCCATTTCTCCCTCCTCCACCCCCCTGGGAAACACTCATCCACTTCTTTTTCTTTATGGATTTACCTCCTCTGGCTATTTCATATTAAAGGAACCCTATAATATGTATAATATGTGGTCCTTAGAATAATGTCTTCAGGTGTGTCTGTGCCGCCTCAAGGATCAGCACCTCAATCCTTCACTGTGTGTTACCCAGCTGTTCCCCAGTGAATACCTGTATTGAGTGACAGGACACTAATTAGGAATGATATGGGCATTTGCCAAGGACAGTTGCACCTGGCATGTTTGGGGGTTCAGGCCACAACTGTGCATACCCTGTTTGGAGGGGCTGTACTCATTTACCTCCCCTGAAGAGCTGGGCCTGCCTGGCCAGGTGCGTATCGAGAGCCTAGCTCCTCTACTCCTTGTCTTAGATTAAGGTGTGTTTTCTCCTTTTAAGAAATCCCTTTATTTGAGTGAGTGGGGGTGAGGGCGTCACTCAAAAATCAAATGGGCTCTGATGGAAAGAGCAGCACACATGAGGATGGAGAATTTTAGGAGCAGGAGATGCACCAGAACCTGAACCCCACTGGCAAAAGACCCCTGCCCGAGACAGACAAGGAGTCGGGGCACCCCTCTCACTGTGCCTTATGGTGGGTGTTTGGTGAGCTAAACTATCTCTGAGCCTCAGTTCTTCCATCTGTAAAATGGGGTGAGGGGTGTCTGCCCACCCAGCCTCCCCAGACAGCAGGAAGGTAAGGAGGGTGACTGGTGGGGACTGTGGATTTTACCTCCTGCTGCTTTGTCTTGGCCGGGAGCAGATTGGGGCATGGAGCAGACACTGGGAGCCACTGCTTCCTGACTCCCCAGGCTTTCATGCATGGGTGGGCAGAACGGGAAGCTCTTTGGTTTGTAAAATTCCTGGCTTGGTTTTGTTGCACCAAGAAAAAGTGGGTTTATGTCAAGCCCAGACTGGAGTGGGGGGAAAAATAGTTTCATCCCAGGTTCCGATGCTGACCACAGATGCCCACCTCCTTCCCTTCGTCTCCCCTGGTGCTGCATGAAATGCCAGTTCTGGTTTTCACGCATTAAAAAAATAATCTTTAAGGCCACCTTGCTTTGGCTCCTCCTAGATGCTCTTTTCCAGAGACTCCAACAATGGAGACAGAGATAATAAAGGGGGGAAATTAGTAAATAATGTGCAGCAACTTGAAAGTTACAGGGCCTGTAAAATGGGAGGCATTTAAATCTGTTATTAGCCGTGCTTTTAAATGCTCTTCCCATACATTCTAGAGTAGTGATTGTTTTAACAAGAAGTGTTCTGAGACTCAGAGTCCTGAGTGCAGGGCCAGAAAGTCTTATGCTACTCAGACTTCTAGTCCCAGGTGACTCAAACGGGCCATCTGATTCCCTTCCATGGCTGGGAGAAAAGGGGACTCATCGCTGACACTGAAAGGGGACAATTAAGGAACACACCAAAAAGCCCTTTGGGGAAGATGAGAATACTCGGTGTAGGTGCAAAGGTCATTGCCATCATCCCAGATGCTGTCAACATGGTCCTGGTCTTTTCACTTGGACAGGGAGTTAGGAGAGGACTTACTATAACGTCTCTTGGGGACGGGCAGCGGGAGTGCAAGTGTAAGGCTGGGCATCTGACATCTGGAGTGGACAGAACGTCTACTCTACTTTGCTACTTCTGATCCGAGGACGGAGAACCTAACACGGAATGGCCACGGCCATCCACAGAGGGCTCAGAGACAGGGAACACAGACGTCAGGCTGGGTCAGGAACAGGTTGCAGGTCAGGAGCTAAGATCACGTCTTGGGGTCTCCCCCAGCCTCAGAGGTATGGACTTCCTCCGGTTTTCAGTGTTCTACCTGAAGCCCCAGGCTCCAGATCAGAAGAGGCTGTTCTAGAAGGGGAGGATGCTCTGAGCACTTTGGCAGACCCGACTCCGCCCTCTGCAGCTGGAGCACTCACCAGAAGGCTCTCCAGGTGGAGAAGCCGGCCCCTCGCAAGGGGAGACTGACAGCCAGGCCCTCGGGGAAATTCTGGATTCCAATTCCAATGGCCAGATTCCTAAAAGACCAAGAAGACATGTGATGACCTCTGCCTGGAACTGTGAACCACGCAGGGCAAGGCCCTAGCCCAGAGCTGGGGCTCTCCTATGGTGCCAGGGAGCCAGCAGTGACCTGAGGCAGGAGGAAGAAGGAGAGAGGTCGAGGCACACAGGGGTTGTAGGAGGGAGGGACACAGGTCCTCCACCTGGCATCCTGCTTTGGCACAGCAGAGAACACTGTACAGCTGTCAGGGTGGCTGAGTTCTGCCACTTGGCTGCACAGCTTTGCACACACCATTCACTTTCTACACCTCCATTGCTTATATACAAATAGAGGATGACACCATCTACCATGAAGGGTTGTTGAGTGAACCAAATGACCCACTAATGCCATAAAGTTCCTAGCACAGGCGAGATGCTGAGTCCACTTGGATTTCTATTCTCTTATATTTTATCCAGAAGTAACTTTGGGAATAGGTCAAGGAAGTGGAGATGCAGACGCCAGCGGTGGCACAGATCTGGCTTGGGGCTTAGCTTCTCCGTGGACTCTCTGTGTGTGTCTGGCACGGTCCCTGTGCTCCTTTGAGCCCTGGTGGTGCTCACTGTGACCCTCTCGTGCCTGCAGGCCCCTGAGGGGCTATGCTGGTCGGAACTGTCTGAGAGCCTGCTCTGCACACAAGCCAAGTGGGGAGTGCAAAGGAAAGAACAAGCAGAGTGGGAGGAGGACAGATCCCTGACCCCGTGCCTGGCCTCAGTGTGGCTTACCATTTAGCAAGAAGAACCCTCATTGTGCCTGCTGCAAGTTATTGCAGGTCAGCTGAATGTCACCATGCAGGGGGCAGAGGCATGATCAGAGGGAACCAGGATCCATCTGAGTCAACAGGAAGGCCATCTTAGGGTGTCTCCGGGTCCAAGGAGCAGCCCCTCCACCAATGCCTATCTCATCAACAGAGATCTCCAGGGCATAAGAAGGTATCACTTGGTGAGTGATACCAGCATATGGCCTGAGGGGCTTGTGGGTAGAACAGAAAGAAAAGGGAAACTCCATGGGCTTTCAGGTCAACCGGCTCACGTCAGTGCACCTGCTGCCAGTGGAATCCACCTGTTAGCTCTGGGCAGAGACAAGGGACTCCTGCAGACCAGCAGCTGGGCCCATCCTATCCTCCCACCCTAGGGTGTCAGGACTGGACACATTCTCAGCCTTCAAGGTACCATCAGGCTAGCTCTGCCCAGGGCTCTCTATGCAGCCTCCAGCAAAGAACAGCAAGGATAATTGCTGTGTTTGATATCTAGCCTCCATTCTGATTGAGGGCTTGTACCACTCTCCATGTCTGCCTCTATCCCCAGCTCCTGCACCCAAGCTTCATCGAATCTCATGACTCCAGACTCCTCAGGAGGAGGGAGCCCCTGCCCTGGGCTTCTAGTCAAGGAGACTCTTAGGACTGACCCTTCCAGAATCTTGAACCTATAAACATTAAGCCGACATGTGGCTCATCCCATCTTGTCCCAGGGCCGGCAGTCCGGCCCTCCAACGGTCTGAGGGACAGTGAACTGGCCCCCTGTTTAAAAAGTTTGAGGAGCCCTGTTTTACACCCTTAGTTCACAGGAGCTGATATGCAGTAAGGACCCACTGAAGTCTGCCATGGGGCCGACATGAGTGTTACTGCCTTATTGTTGTGGTTTCATTGTGAGTTTAGGATAAAAGAGGTGAAAGAGAATGTAATTTAAGGCTTTCCACAAACTCATGGGTCCTCTTTCCAAGTCAGGGCTAAGAATACTGTCCACCCTGAACCAAAACTGCTCTGCAAAGCCCCACTTCAAACAGACCTGGCTTGGCTGTCCTGCTTGTGGCCCGTTGGGGCCTGAATTCCCATCAGCACTCAGGCACCTGCTCCTGTTGATATGCTAATGAGAATTTTACATCACTGTAAGAGAACTACTTTTGGTAAGAACCATGGCGTGACCTATGATCTTCCTAATACTGTGCTCCTGTCTGCTTGGGTCACACAGAAACTCCCAGGAGACGTGGACTCTCACTTCCCCTGTGCTGGGATCTTTTCTCCTGTCACCTCCAGGCTCCACTGAGCCCCAGTGAATGGCTAAAGACCGGACACTTCCCTGGGGACAGAGGAGGCAAGAGGATGGGGCACTTGGATGAGCCTGGGCTCTACTCTTTCCCTGCAGAGCCCCAGGGGTCACCACTGAGTGACCTTGAAGATTATGTGCCAGACAGTTGGGAGACAGCCTCACGCTTGTCTGAGAAGTGGCTCTTCTATGAAGTCACAGGCAGGGGCCGACACTATAGCATACACATTCTCCAAAAGAGGCCCGATCTGTCCCAGTCCAACAGGAGAGGAGGAGGGGGAGAAATTATAGGTAGGATAGAAAAAGAAACTGGGTTAGAGATTTTTAGGAAAAACAAAAGTGTTGTTCTGGTCCCTTGCTTTTTAAGTATGTGTGTGTGTGGTGGTGGTGGCCCTGCCTGGCCGTCTGTCTCCTTTTCCTCCCTAGCCGGTCTCCAGGGTCCAGAGTTCTTTCTCACCTCCCTGCCTCTGTTGCTCCGCCAGAGAGGGTGGTTAGTGCCTGCCTCTGGGAGCTGGGCTAATAAACTCACTTCTTCTCATTTCTTGGGCCCTGAGTTTAGGAATCCAAATCTAGCTTTGGAAGACATTGTTGCTCAAGTTGTAGGACCCTGACAAACAAGTTCTAACAGCTTTTGCTACCAGCTTCGTGTCTAAGCGGGGCCTGAGCTCCTACCCCAGAAGGAGGAGTCATTTCAAACATATTTCTGCTGGAGAAACAAATGTTAAGGATGACTTCTTGCCAACATTTCATGAGCCCCTACCCTGATGGCCCATAGCTCCCCACATGGTTGAGTAAACACAACCAGCTCTCTTGAGATTTTGCTAAGCCCGAGTCCATGGTTTCTTTCCAATGAGGAAGGCCAAGGCCCTTGTGGGGTGGGGACCGTGCTGGGTGGCTGGCTCACAGTCTGCTGCTGCCACCTGACTCTACAATCACAGGCAGGTACGTGACCTGCCCCCAGTGTAACCAGCACGTCAGGGGTGGAGCACCCGTCCAAAGTCCTTGCCATGATGAGGCACTGACTGCGGCCGTCTGCCAGGCGGGCACCAGAGACTCCTCCACATCCTGCCCAGGAGCCACCATCCTGATAAGCAGCACAGAAAACCCATTCTTCCACCCCGGGAGCCTTGCTACCTCTGCCCTGCCCCAGCTCTGGCATGGGGCGTCCAGCCCAACCAGGTGCCGCGCCCTCTGGGTCCTGCCAGGCCCTTTCGAGCAGGGTGTCGTCTTGCAGGTGATCCCCGGGCTGTCCCGCGCACTCTGTGCTCCCTGCCCCACGGCAAGGGCGGGGACCACAGCTCCGCTGCCCTTCCCACCTTCATACACGACCCTTCTACATGTGGCTCTCCTCAACACACAGGAGCACACACACACGCATGCATGACACCCGCACGTGAGTGCCTCTGGGATGGGAACCATGATGATGCCCCCTCATTTCGGCTCACTCAGACCTGGGGGGCTTCCGGGATGCAGGAATTTCAGTGCTGACCCTGGGGTAGTCTCAAGACAATGGTCACCCTCAGAAGCACTTGGAAGCAGGGTAGGTGGCTGAGGCAACCTGGGCTAAGAATTTTAACTTGCCACAGAGGATATATAAAGAATCCTGGAAGTTGAGCATATGTTTAAAAAGTACAATGCCCTGCCTAATACTTCCAGCGGTCTGAGGCCAGTTTTCCCCCCTTCTGGACTTTTATACGTCCCTCCCTGTAGGAAGACAGCTTCCCAGAGACCCTTCCCGCCCCATGGACGTCAGGTGAGTCTCCACGGGCTGCTCTCTCCAGCCCCGCCCTGAGTGTTACCCAGCAGCTGGCGAGGCACAGCAGGGGTGGGGAAGAGATTGTTTCCCTGCAACAGCAGGAGACACTTTGCTCTGCTCTTAGGCAGTGACACAAAGGAGCAATTCAGGCTGTCTCCTGTTAGGGGACAGGAGGCAGCAAGAAACCCCCAGGGGTGGAGAAACCTATGAGCAGGTCGGGAAAGCATTGGGCTCATTCACAAATGCTGAGTCCCAGAAAACAGAGGGGGCTGGGCCCATTGGTACGCCAAGGAGGTGCAGGCAGTAGTGGGGTGGATCCGCTCATACCCAGGCTGGCATCTCTGGGCTGGACGTCAGGGCAGGTTGTCCCTCTCATTCTTTGCCCTGGCAAAGGCATGCAGGCAGATGGCCAGGGTCTCTCTACTCTGCTAGGCAGGAAGGCCCGCCCTGCCCCTATCTTCAGAGACCACTAATCCTAAGAGGTGGGTGACAGGAAGAAAGACCCTCCTTGGTGGCCACTGCATCTGCTTTTTCTTAGAGACATGACTCAGCTTCCCTGCGGGGCTGACTTCTCATCTCCTGCTGGGAACCCCCCACCCTTCCTTTAAAAGCCGGGGCACAGGAGGTGGCCTGGCTCAGTGCCTTCATTGTTAAGGTAGAAGATGGAAGCATAGACGATTTCAGTGCTTTTAAAGGCAATGCGATGTGCAGTATCAAGCACATGGGGGTGGGACCCCCAGGAACAGCAGGGTGACTCAGGGAAAGCTCTGAGAAACTCCATCTCTGCTTCATCTGTAAAATGAGCACACAGCTTCCCCGCTGGAAGGGCTTTTGAGCAGATGGGAAACCATCAGGGCCTATCCCAGTGCAGAGCCCAGAGTGGGTGCCCTTTCCATGGCAGCTGCGGTGAAAGTTGCCCACAGACTGGCACTCAGGCTCCTGCTCCCGTCCAGCCTCACGCCAGTTTCTTCTACGAGTGGCTCCTCTGCTTTCTCAATCTTGCGACCTCCTGGGCAGAACCACATTCCTGCAACAGTGACTTGGCTGTCTGGGAGCCTGTCCCAGGAGTCACTCAGAATCTATCACTGAGCCCCAGGCATGTGGGAGAGCTCGCGCCTCCCAGGGAGAAGACATTAGGAAGAGCCCTGCCTGCAAGAAACCTGCCGTCTAGCAGAGGGT